GTAAACTATGGCTTTATTCATTGCAGAGCAATAGTTTGTGGAATGATCTGATTGAAGTATTAAAATAGTAAAAGCTGGGGGCAGAATAAACAGAATGACTCTTCCCAAGGCGTCCAGCGCCTTGGGACATCCTCCCAACATTAAAGGCGCTATACAAATATAATTTTGTATTGTATAATTGTCAGCCTGGCTCAATTGGTAACACTCTTGCCTCCAAGTCAGAAGTTGGGACCCATATTGTCTATGCTGATCCTTCGATGCAGTGCTGAGGGTGTGCTTCATTGTTGAAGGTTCCTTCCTTTGGATGAACCATTGAACTGAGGTCCTGTCTTGCCTGTTCAGGAAAATGTTAAAGACCCATTCAAAAAGGGAAGGGAGTTTCTCCCAGTGTCTTGGCCAACAGTGTCTCTCCCAAATAAAATAAAGCATGTTGTCACTTACTTCATGTCCTATTGTGGGTCATTGCTGTGGGCAAATTGACTGCTGCATTTGCCTACATATACACAGTGACTACACTTCATAATTTAAAAAAAAATTGTGAAGTGCTTTGAAACAATTCATTAACATGGTAAGGCACTTTATCAAATGCAAGGATTATTATTTGTTATTATCTATACATGATGAGTAGTAATAATCATAATAATCCTTGCATTTGATATAGCGCTTTTCATGACTTCCAGACTTCTCAAAGCACTTCACTGAATATACTGTAAAGTGAATTGACTGTATATTTGTGGGCGAAACACAGCAGCCAATTGTGCACAGAATAAGGATGTTAAGGGATGCCGCAGGCTGCCGAAACCCTCATACACGCCTTCATTACATCGAGGCTCAACTATACAAACTCATTGTTTGTCGCCCTCCCCAACACTTCCCTCCTCAGGCTGCAGATCATCCAAAACTCTGCAGCCCCTGTCCCTCTCCTGCACTAGGTTCAGCGACCCTATCACCCCCATCCTTACCCAACTCCACTGGCTTCCCATCACACAGAGGATACAATTCAAGATCCTGGTCCTCACCTTCAAAGCCCTCCATGGTCTTGCTCGCCCCTACCTCTCTGACTTCCTAACCCCCTACCACCCTGTTCGCTCCCTCAGCTCAGCGGGCTCTGGCCTGCTTCATGTTGCCTGCCTTGCTCGCCCCACTATCAGCGGGCGGGCCTTCCACCACTCTGCACCTACCCTCTGGAACTGCATCCCGCAGTCACTCCGCCTCGCCCCCTCCCTCGCCACCTTCAAGACCCTCCTCTTCGACCGTGCTTTCGATCTCCCTGCTTCCCTTCCGCCCTCCCCCCTCCCCCACCCCAACCCTCAGCTCGGGTCCGTAACTCTGTCTGTTTAGCGCTTTGGGACGTCCTCCTGACGTGAAAGGCGCAATACAAGTGTAATTTTGTTGTTGTTGTTGTGGAGAAAGATGGGAAATTGAACTAGTTACCGTAGACTTATTGATAGCATAAACTGAGGTTGAATGGCTCTTTCCTTTTCCTATCCATCTTCCTATCCCTATTCATGTGCTTCTGATGGATTTGATTTGTTTTTAAAGATTCATTTGATTTTAAAATATGAAGACTTTCCAATGTAGGTTTGGTATGCAATTTTTTTAAGAAAAAGAAAAAAGCCTTCAATGAAGCTGAGGATATTTTGATGGGATTCAGAAGAATGTTGCTACAGAAGGGTTACCCACTGTGAGCCCAATTGAAAAAGGGCCAGCACCTTGTGACACATGCAGCTATTAAAACCCAGAACAAGAATAACTGAGCACAACCTCTTTGAAGCAGATCAAGTGAATAACCTTGTCGCAGGGAGTCCTGTGCTCAGTCAGAGACTGTTTGCCTCACTCTGTGACAGTCTTCACCTTAACAGCGATCGACATCACTCAACCTGCCCGAGTTGGTGAAACTATTCCACTGGCCTTTTGTGAGAAAAATGGTTAAAAAAAACACCCCCCCCACGTCTCCAGGTCCTCTTTCACAAGCGCTGTTAATACCTGCTGCTCAATGGTAAGTTATTGATCTAAAACTGTGATAAACGCTCATAGAAAATGTACTGGAAGTGGAACATTTGTTTTGATTTCCCGTAATCATAGTGACAATAAACAGTGAGTGATCCTCGAAACAGAAACATGAACGTTTCAAAGGATACGTAAATACAGTGTGACATTTGCTGAAAAATCAACGGGTTACACCCAGACTCGAGCCCATTGCAAACAGGTTGCACGAGGTCGTTTGGGAAAGAAGCAGTTGCTCTGCCAAATAAACCTCTGCAGAGTTGCACTACAATGGGAACAGAATTAGTTCTCTAAATATTCAGGTTGGGCAACTGTTTGCAACGCAAACACGATTCCAGGTCGTGTTACTTTTTTAAAAAATATAAATGGGAAAGCAATGACTCCAGTTCGCCTGACTCCGTGTGTTTGTCATGGGAGTGCCGAAAAAAAGTGGTTAAACAAGATAGATTGGAAATTGATAGGGGGAAAGTTCAAACGGCTGTTAACTACAGGGCACTTTAGGCTCAAATAGACTTTCTTTTCATTGAAACAATTCACTGCAACTGCACCTCTGGCAAAATCTCGCCTGTGTGTGTTTTGTGTGTGTGTGTGTGTGTGTTTAGTTCAGTAGGTCTGTATCTACCTGTATGCTAATGTTTTATTTATACTGTACTCTGAGATGAGACATCTTTATGTGTACACGTTTATGTCTTTACGGTTTGCCTTTCAAATAAAAAGACCGCTGAATCTAACCCATAGCAATTTAACACAAATTGCTATAAACACAGTTGCTCCGGAAATAGCATTTAAAATTACACACTGGTACGTCCCGGCAGATTCCCAACATGATTTAATATTGAGCTCTTGTAAAATAATAGTGATATCGGTACACTTGAAAACATACACGGGTCATTTTTTTTGCACGGCAGATTATAAAAGCACTGAATCTCCTAATTCAAGCGTTAGCCTGCCTTAGTTTGTACCAGTCTTATCGCTGGATCATACAATGTTGGGAAGTACTGCATTGTCAGAGGTGCCATCCTTTACATAAGACATAATACCAATGCCTTGTCTACGTTTGTAGCAATTGCTGTGTGCAAATTGGCTGCAGCCGTACAAAACACACAGTTTGTGTAACTTTATAATAAACCCCGTGATTGATTTGAGACCTTGGCCGATTTGATAAAGTGTTATATCAAATACAAGTATTACATACGGATAACAGTTGTCCCCTCTGAATTGATACCCTTCCCATCACCTGAGGGTGACTGAGTTGTGCAAAGACCAGCTGTTCTGTACCTCGGGATGCAGCGACTCCATATTAGCTACAGGTTTAAGTTGACTTCACACACTCATTAATCTAAACCAGGCATGTGCATTAAAGATTTGTATATCACCTTGATCAGGTGCTTCGATCTTCCGATAAGATCTAGTGAGTTGACAGTTATGTCTCATTGACTGGAATTTCTGAGTTTAAGCAATTAAGATTGCACTATAATTCTGCTGGAACTGGAGTGTTATTGGGGGGGTTTGGGGGTGGGCGGGGGGTTGGGAGAGATAGCACTAGATTTGTAACAGCTGGGAATAAATGACAAACCATCAGGATGTCCATGTTCAATCAAATTACCAGCACAGTATTTTTAGCATTCTCCATGTGCCCTGAAACATCCGTCAAATCGACCTACCTGATCGGACGCCTATATATAACATTCATTACCTCCTCTTATTAATGGTGGGACTCAGATGCAGTGATAAGGTAGGATGCTTACTTAAATGATGCACCCCCTTTAAGTCTAAAGTACCTGTAAGGATTCCGGTTACCTGCTTGGGCGATTACATTTCTAACCACTATAGAATTTGTCAGCTGGCGTTACCTTTCTTTCCAAGTGCCTCAAGGAGATCTCTGCATTTAGTGTCCCTAAATGGTCGGATCACATCTTAGACGATCTACCTGACAGATTGCAGCGATTAAAATATAATAGCCTGCACATCTCTCGATTTACTGGTCGTTAAAAGGCAGGAGAGAAAGATTTATGTGTAGTCCTCCGGAGAATCCGCTTAAATACCGACCCCCTCTTCCCAGATATCTGCCTGTGATTTTAGGACGCGTTTCGCTGACTTCGGTGCAATCAGTTTTGTTCGGAACCGATGCAAACACGAGTTGAACTAATATTGATCACACCCCTCCGGCAACGGCAGGGATATAACAGAATGTGAGTGAGTGAATGCCTACAGTTTGAACACACTGCGTTGAGACACTGGCGAACCATTTAGCACCCGGTGCCTCTCCGGGCGATGGAAACAACTCACCTTTGCGCTTCCAAAGCCCGTCCCCGCCCTGCGTTTCCAACCCACCTGTTTCCCTGCAAATCCGATCTCTTTCATTGCAAAACCGCGTGGGTGGGTTTGCAAAAAAAAACAAAACAAATTCTTCTCACGGGAAACCGAGTCTCGAAATCTGTGTTATTCGATTAACCCTTTTTTTCCCGGACGCCAGGTTTGTGTCCTCCTGTCCCTTTCGCATCGCCGACCGATGGTCCAAAAATCATTGCACGCCAACACGGAAGTTTTTTTTTTTTTTGGTGGGGGGGGGGGGTTACCAAAGCACATTTATTCGAAACTATAAAGGCTCGTGAAATCGTTCGGTATTGAACACAACAACAAAACACACGCGCGTAAAAACAGACAAACAAACAAACAAACAAACAAAAAATCGCCTGCGTTACATTGGCAGTGGTCCCGTCCTTAAGGTTATTACAGTACTGACACTTATCAAACTCATTGGGCTCGATTCGAGCTTTGTCGTTAACATCCTACATACGATTCATTTTATTTTAAAAACACACACACACACACACACACACAAAATAAAAGTTCTATAGCCCATCTCTGGTTTTACCTCTTTTTTTTTGCAAAAAAAAAGTTATAAATATATATATATATATTTTTTAAAAAATCGTAACAACTACTTATTTGGCACACAGCAATGCCATCGTTTTTTTTTTGGTGGTGGGGGTGGGGGGTGGGGTGGGGGGTTAGAAATGATCCGATATCCAGTTGATCTCACGCTTTTCACTACCTGCTCTCAGAAAGGATGACTGCAGTCTCGATAACATAGTGGTGGTGGTGGTCCTTCGGTGGTTTGACCGGAACGACTGGTTTTGTCGAGATGCAGGAAACCAGGTTCAGTGTATTGGACCCTTTTATTCGAATAAAAGCTTTCATCGGGTCCCAGTGCAGTGGTCGGGAAAACACACTCACACACACACACACACACACAACACACACTCAATATCTCTCCTATAATAAGATCTGATCAAAAGTGCAGAACTCGGGCTCTGTCGCCCTCCGATTGGGTGGGAGTCGTGTGTTATTCGCGTGTGTGTGTGTATGTGTGTGTGTGTGTGTGTGGTGGGGGTGTGCGGATGTGTGGATGTGCGTGTGTCAGGTCCTGACACTTGTCTTCTAGGCGATCAGGGATTCGATCCTGAACGGATGGAAGCGACCGGGAAGCATCGCCGCCGGGAACGGGAGGCGGGAGCAGTCCCGCTGCGACTCGGCCATCCCGGGCCGGACGGGTTTGGCGGGGGTGGCGGTGGCGTGGGGGGGGTCCGGCCCGGGGGCCGGGTACCCGCGGGCGGGCAGCAGCGAGGGGGCGGCCGGGCCGACGTGAAACAGGGCCGGGACCGGGCCGACCCGCGCGTACGGCACGAAGGGGTAGGGCGCCAGCGGAGCGCTGGACCAGAACATCTGGCCCACCTGCTCGGCCAACCTGTCCTCCCGCCGCTGGAAGGGTCGGCTCAGGATGCTCTCGATGGCGAACGAGCTGGAGAACTTGGCCCGGGTGCCCCCCGACCCCTTGCCCGCCTCCGCCGCCGGGGTGGGTGGTGGTGTTGGGGGCGGCGGTGAGGGGGCGACCCCGGGCGCGTCCCCGGCCCCGGGTCCCTTGAGGGCTTTGCGGGCGATGCGCTTCCTCCGGCGGCGGAACACCCCGTCGGCGAAGGTGTACTCGCTGTTGGGGTTCAGCATCCAGTAGTTGTCCTTGCCCCAGGGCCGGGACGGGTCCCGCAGCACCTTGACGAAGCAGTCGTTCAGGGACAGGTTGTGCCGCACCGAGTTCCTCCAGCCCGTGTAGCCGCCCCGGAAGAAGGGGAACTTCTTCATCAGGTAGTCGTTGATCTCGGCCAAGGTCAGGCGGCCGGTGGCCGAGTCCCGGACCGCCATGGCGATCAGCGCGATGTACGAGTAAGGCGGCTTGGGGCGCCGGGTGTAGGTCTTGTTGCCCTTCGCCTCCTGGCCCGGGCGGGGGTCGGGGTCCGGGGTGCTGGAGGTGGGGGTGGTGGGGGGGGTGATGGTGGTGGTGGTGGTGGTGGTGGTGGTGGGCGCGGGGCTGTTGGCCGCGCAGTCCCCGTCCGACCCCAACTCCTCTTCTCCCGACAGGGGGGAGGGGACGCTGCCCTCCGAGTCGCTGCACACCTTGTCTTGGAAGGCGGACCCCGAGAACACCTCCAGGTTCATGATGGCCCCGGTGGCTGCCCCGCGTGTGTGTGTGTGCGTGTGTGTCTGTCTCTGTGTGTGTGTGTTTTTGGGGGGTGATGGGGAGGAGGGAGGGGTGGGAAGGGGGAGGGGGTTGTTTTATTTTATTTTCCTTCTCTCTCTCTCTCTCTCTCTCTCGCTCTGTGCGTGTGTTACTTCCGCAAACCCGATCCCGCAACAGGCGGGGAATGAATGACTCCCCCACCGCAAAAGGTTCTTGAAAGTTCGGGTCAGCTTTTTTTCTTTCTTTCTCGACTCCAAATCAATCCTCAACTCAAATCAACTCAACTCAAGAAGAAGAAGAAGAAGAAAGAAAGAAAAAAAAGAGAGCCCCAACACGCACAAGGCTCGACTTCTTTCAGACACTCTCGTCTGTGTCTGTGTCTGTGTCTCCGTCTGTCTGTGTGTCTCTTGTCTGTGTCTGTCTGTTCCACAGTGGTAACTTGGGCTTCGGTGGAGCGATTGGAAAGCGGAGATCGCCCTTCAGTCTCAGTTGTCTGGTGGGTCTGGTGTCTGGTGTCTGGTGTCTGGTGGTCCTGGTGGTCTTTGCTTTGCTTTGCGCTCAGACACTCAGCGTCGGGGACAGACCGCCCCAACTCTCCAGAGACCGGCTCAGACCTGTGCAATATCACCGCTCGGATCCGTCCACCCGCACACCTCAAAGAGGGGAAACGCCGACGCTTTCCGCTCCACTCACTCCGCACCTTTCGGGGGCCGCTCCTGCACCGGGAGCCCCTCTCCGTGCGCCACCGGCGGCAGCACACGCGGAAAAAAATCGGCAACAGTGGCTCCCGGGACCGAATCGTGGGGAAGATCGACCGTGAAAGTCTTGCGATTGATTTGTATCCTTCCCGCAGATTTCTAAACCCCCCCCCACCCACCCACCCCCCCACACACACAACACACACCCCTTTGCACCTGTTGTGTGAACTGTGCCAGGACTGCAGTCGGATTTGAATAGAGTTGAACTGAGTCGTGGTTTTGTTTCTTTTAACGATTGCAGTAAATAAAACAAGGGGCGTGGAGGCTGAGCACGGAAACTACTGACTGACTGTGACTGACTGACAGCTCGAATGCAACACCCCCCCAAATAAACTGTTAACAAAAAAAAACCCCGATGCAATGTCCCCCCCCACACCCCCCCACCTTCCTCACATGTAGCTTTTTTATGCAACACCTTCACCCCGATCCCGTTTGCTTAAACGTTCATTAAAAAAAGACTAAGGATCTGTGTATATTTTTTCCCCCCCACACCCCCCCACAGCCTCCCAACACATTTGTTTTCAGGAATTGTAATCTTTGGAGTTGCTTAGCGATCCGCCGAGTGTAGAGGGGAAACTGTTAAGGTTATATATAAACAACCCGAGCGTCCTGACATTGCCATGGGGGTGGGGGTGGGGAAGGGGGGCTCTTACTGGTGGTGCATTGAACCCCAGACGTTTAGAACAAATAAACGCCGATGACTTTTTAGCGACTGTGAACGAGATCGATCGCCCCTCTCCCCCCCCCCCCCCCCCTCCCCCTCTCCCCCCACTCCCCTCCTCTTGGGGCAGGTGCGTTCCGTGGGGTATCCACCACCAGGTCCTGCAGCTGAGCAACACGGGATGTCCAGCCCCACGTCCTCTCATTGCAAAATAACCTGATGGAAAATAATAATAACGATACTACTCTGTGAAGCTGACTTGCTCCTGTTGTTGAGACAACTTTTGATGTCTCGGCTCTGTGTGTCCCCGCAACACCGATGCAAGTAGGGGACTGGGATGGTTTCATGACTTACGCTGTCCCTTTGCGAGATTTGTTTCACTAATAACGTCAGAATGAAAGGACTGCGGATATTTTTGTAAAACAAATCAAATCCAAGTGTTTCATATAAAAAAAACAAACGCCCCCCCCCCACCCCCTGCCCCGGTTTCATGATTTAATTCCCCCTTTCTCCTCCTTCCAGTGACGACGAGGCAACGATTTCCATTCGGTCAGATTTCGATTGAGTGGGAACCGTCCGATGCGTTTAAAATGCGCGTCTCTGAGCCCAAATGCATTTCATGACCGTCCGGTGACTGTGATCTGAGAATTAAAAACACCAACAGCACTGCAGTGTCGCCTTCCGATCACCGAAACCAGACACTGGCGGTGTTGCAGTGTGTGGGTATAACAACGCGAATGAATGTATAGGTGTTATTCCTCGTATCATCACCGTGCAATGTGTCCAACTCCTCCTTGTTATTCACCAGGAGGAGGGTATTGCCCTCAGTGTGGTACTGGGGGTGCCATCTCCGCACAGTAAGTCCAGGGTGATTCTCTGATTTATTCCTGCGTGGAGACACCCGAGGATGCAGGTTCTCGACAGGTTACATGTTGGCATCCGGAAGGAGAGATCCTGTGTGTGTGTGTGTGTGTGTGTGTGTGAAGGAGAGAGAGAGAGAGAGAGACACACACACACACACACCCACACAGACACGAACATACAGGAAGAGATCCAGCAACATGGCATTGCAGAATTCAAAGCATCGAAAACAACAGCACACCCACAGACAGATGCTGAAGGAGGATAACGTGCTCAGTAAACGCAACCATCCCCGAGGAATGTGATACACTCAGTCCCATCGCGGCTGCACAAGGACATTTTAGGCTTATCGTAAAACCTTAAGCAGGTGATCCGATCTTTTTGTTTAGGCAGTTAGTTATTATCTCCGATCTTTTGTCTGATCGAGTCCGATTCCGTCCACCCCCCCCCCACCCCCACCCACCCCCCAATATGTATCTATTTTTTTCCCAATTGAGATTGCAAATGCTATCCTTGCTACTCCCCTGTGCATTTGATTGTAATGCAGGGGAAGGTTAAAACGGGAGGGTTCAGAAGACCCTCTTATTTCCCACAGCACAGGTAACACACATTGTGAAACTTTACGATGTTTGTTCAAATAAAATAAATCCCACTGATGGGATTCCGCCTTCACTGGCTCGCACCTCCTCACACGCTGCTCCCAGTCTGTGAACCTGGTGGAGGTTCTCAGGTAAAAAAAGAGATGTCGCTGTTACTTCAAAAACGTTACAGGTTTCCCTGTGCTCTTTGGCCTCACACAGCGCACACATTTTCCATCAATGAGTAACCCAACTTGTTGTTTTATCCCGTCCCGCAACTGCTTTGTCGATAATATTCAAATAAACGCCCCAATAAACAAAGCCATACAAGGCTTTGTTTATTTTTTATAGATAATAATAATCCTTGCATTTGATACAGCGCTTTTCACGTCTTCTAGACGTCCCAAAGCGCTTCACAGAATATACTGTAAAGTGAATTGACTGTATATTTGTGGGCGAACGCGGCAGCCAATTGCGTACAGCAATGTCCCACAAACAGTCGTGGATTGAAAATGACCAATTTATTATTGTTCTGTTTTGTGGAGGGATTATTATTAGGTGTGTGGAGTAAGGAAACTTGCCCAAGGTTTCGCCCTCTGCCTGGAATTGAACTCAGGTCTCTCGCTTGCAAAGCGAGTGCTCTAACCACTGAGCTACAGGATATATAATCACTTCTGATTTTTACACAGGGCTGCGATCGTTTTATTCTGCTTTTATAATCCAGTGGCTTTGAGATGTATTCCAGTACTTGAATGCCCTTGTTAATAAAAGCTTGAGCGATGGCTGGATTGTGAATGATGAATATTCACACCCAAATCTTTTCACTCTTCCACTTTTGTAAATGGATACCAATCCATTGTTTAGATATGCTTTATGTTTCCTGTATCAATGACCATTACTTTGTATTTGTCCTCATTAAAAATCCATCTAGTGTACCTTAAGTCACCTTATTATTTTGCCCAGATCTTTCTGAATGCAGCCACCTTTCCACGTGGCTTGATTTTGTCATTTTATATTGTAATATCCTCATGCTTTGGTTCCTTCCCACTCATAAAATATATTCAGTCTTTACAGTGCTGTCACAATGATAGAAATTTGAAGTGACATTGAAAGTGACATATGTTAATCTGCACTATTTTGAGTGAATTGGAGAGAGACTTAAGTTTTGCAGTATGTTCAACTATCAGCCTAATTAATTGTAGCAGAAAGTGTAAGTAATGATCTCTCACAAGCAATCACAAAAGATTTGTGGAGTCCTGTAGCTCAGTGGTTAGAGCACTCGCTTTGCAAGCGAGAGACCTGAGTTCAATTCCAGGCAGGGCAAAACCTTGGGCAAGTTTCCTTACTCCACACGCCTAATAATAATCCCTCCAAAACCAAAAACAATAATAAAATTGGTCATTTTCAATCTACGACTGTTTGTGGGACACTGCTGTGCGCAATTGGCTGCCGCGTTCGCCCACAAATATACAGTCAATTCACTTTACAGTTTGTTCTGTGAAGCGTTTTGGGACGTCCTTCCGACGTGAAAAGCGCTATATCAAATGCAAGGATTATTATTATTATTATTATTACTAGAAAAGAGAAAATGAAGAATGCCCTATGGCCCATTTTATTTCATCCTTCCAGAATAGTTGCCCTGTGAACTTTCCATAACAGTATCAAACTTACTTCTACAAATTCAGTATTCTGGCCACTTGATGATAACCAATTCCAGCCATTAACTTTTATAAAGGCCATTGGATTTGTTACTATGCGTATCTCAACGTCCTTCATTGGGCAGTAATAGCACAATCTTGTAACCCAATAAAATACAAGGATTATCATGAACCTCAGCATCAATCCTGCTGTGCATCAATAAGTATAAGGAATAATGATTCCTTACCTCCATCTCTACTCTTTTCATTTTCTTTAAAAATCACATTTACTCACAGGACTTTATTGATAAGGAAATAGCCTTGGGGAATTCCTGGGCTGATGGGGAAAATCAGGAAAACTTTCAGCTACAATCCAGAGTGTGATTTAAGGGGAAATTATTTAGCCAAGTATGTAACTTTAATGAAAAGCTGGAAATTGCTAAATTATTTCAAACTGAACACTCAGAGACAGTCAAAGGATTTGGAGGTAGCCAACAGTGACACAGAGATTCTGTTGACCACTCAATT